CTGATAAGGAGCGCGAATTTCGATGTGCCGATAACACCAATAGAGCAGAAAAAAATACTATATGAAAATCGAAAAAAAATTTAAACTTTTTTTTTCGACTGTTGCCTATTTCGGATCGTCTACATGGGAAGTTTGTATGAAATCCTCGGAACACGGGTTCACGCCGCTGTGAATACATTGGTTTATATAGTGAAATCTATACATGGCCAAAACACGGACGCACAACACCCATTCTATTTCGCTCACACTTACGTGCAATTTTTGCCCGTATAACAAAGTAGTCTGCTTTACTGTTAAAAAGATGTGCGCAGTAAAGAAACAAGAACGTACATGTTTCAGCAACGTTAAAGTGCACGTAAGTGTGAGCGAAATAGAATGGGTGTTGTGTTAAAATGAATAGTTTAATATACCAATGGACTCAAAACTGTATCAAATCATGCATATTTTTCCAAAACAGTACATTGAGCGCGTCGCCGAACAAAGTGATACAACGTTCTGTTACTGGAACAAAATGAAACACTTGCCGCGCTTCGAAACAAAGCGCAACGTGAATAAAATAGTAGCCAACGATTTCATGCTTCATATTGATCCAATAACAGATTGGTGTTTCACTTTGTTCGGCGATTTTTTTGCGTTTCGTATTCATCGGCGAAGAGTCAATACGTTGTTTTTATGCTCACGGGTTCAATTGGCGTACTGACCTGAAGCAAGTGTGGCAGAATCGTCTACATCGCAACGGTTTCAACACAAAATTTGTATATCGTACAAAAATAAAGCGTTCAGAACATTTGGATATTTTGCCTTTAATTATTTTATTGTTGATGTCATCTCACAATATTAAATATCACACAAATACAAATTAAGCGTTTTCTTGGCGCTTTCATTCAGCTCGATTTATCTTGGTACTGTATTTCGATTTATTCTATATACTAATTGGTTTTAGCACTACATAAACTGTTAAGTAAGGGGTTGTCACCCAACAAAATTAGACAAACTCGATCAAGGCGTTCGACAGATACCCTTTCTGAAATAACTTATCAATTGATGGGCGTCAATGTCGATTCGCAGACGAGCGTTGGCCTCTGGATGCATCTCTTCCTTGCAGTTTTTCCGCGTGTATGATCTATACTCGAGTTCGAATTGAGCTAGAGCCCTGCAATTGCACAAAACACTTTGCACCAGTCGAGAGTAATGAACTTGACATTTGATGAAGTAGAACTTTAAATCAATTGTTTGATTCTTTTGCATCCAATAGACAAAAATCAGTACTGCAATTACGAACAGATCTATTGACTAGATCGAGAGGAGAGTATGTGAAAAAATTCGAATATATTTTGAAAGAGGAGAGTATGATTTCTGTTGATTCTATCTGCGTTAAAAGGAAGTATGTTGGCATCCCGTCTAGCCTCCGCGGTTTTTCACGGTTTCCGCGGAACTGATAAAAGATAACAACATGGTGTCTTCGGCAAAGTTGTAGCACTCGAGGTCTTCTATAACATTGCCGAAGATATCTATCTCTTATCTCTTATCAGTTGCGCGCAAATCGCGCACATAAAAAAGCAAATTTTATATAGAACTTTTTTTTTCTTATCATTTTTCGCGCTTTTCGCGGAACTGATAAGAGATAAGAGATAGATGTCTTCAGCAATGTTATAGAAGACCTCGAGTGCTACAACTTTGCCGAAGACACCAAGTTGTTATCTCTTATCAGTTCCGCGGAAACCGTGGAAAACCGCGAGGACCCGCCAAAAGTGAACATACTCGCCTTTAACCATTTTTGAGTCGAAAGAAACTTACTCTCCTCTTTCGTAACAAAGTCAGATGAACTTACTCTCCTCTCGATCTAGTCAATAGAGATGAAATGCATTAAAACACTGAATGGCAACACATTGGAATTTGACCATCACCATTATGTCAAGTCGTGTCTTTCTGCCTGTAAAGATTGACTGCTCGTTGATTTGGTCGGGTATGTAGAATAGGTAGTGGTTTGGATTCAATTGAATTCATTCAAAATTCCAATTTTAATTCATATTTTGATTGAACTTGAATAGACCCACAGAGACTATACAAAGAAAAGGGCGATCCGTTACAGGCCAGTTAACAAAAGTGATTCAACGTTAGGGATTACGTCAGTGTTCATTGAAGTGAATAATGCACCGAAGCAATTTGCTCGATCAGCGCGCGTTACAGACCTCGACTTAAACATCACCATCGGCCTTTTTTGGTGCATCGATCCAAATCCAATCTAGATATACAATCTTTGAGTAGGACCGATGAAAAATTCGTTTTGATATGGTAGAGAGTTGATTTATTTCTAATTTGACTTGCATTCCGCATTGATCTAAGTATTTTTTCGAAAATCGACGGACGGTGACAATCCCTGGAAAATCTAATGAGATTTTGCCATGTGTGTATGCTACGCTTTAGTATGAGGTTTGACAGAATGGAGAGTTTACTTGATTGTATTGTCATTAGATTCGGATTATCCAGGTGGTGTTTGCGCTCAATATTAGAGGCAAAATTCAAAACGAATGGGAGAGTTGATTTATTCTCAATTTAAATGGAAGCTCTGCTAGTAATTTCCATATAATAATATTAATTCATTGTGCACACGTAATATCATTTTCTACATTTATCTCCAAATTCCAATCAATAAAATCACAATTTGAGTTGCATTATTTTGTTGTTGTTCAGAAATGTGTCCTTGATTTTCCGTGTATGCTTTAATTTGATTAAATTTTCATTGATTAATTCCCTGTGTATATGAAATGAGCGATTCATGTCTGCTATGTTCAGTTTAATTTCTTCCGTTTGCGACGCTAAACTATTTTAAAATGATTGCAACCGCATTTTTCAAATTCTCAAGAAAGTGTGGTGATTTTTTAAATCGCTTTTTACTGGAGAAATTGAAGAAAATTTACAAATACTTTGAACAAAGCACTTTTCTTTTGAAATTCTGCGAAGAGACTGGCTTTCATGGATTCCGTCACATTGGGGATAGAAATTACACTGCGATTGAAAGGTAACCGTTTGCATGTTAGTACATTTTCACATGGTGAATGCAGCCCTTATTTCGTTTCAGAATCGGATGGCTGGCGCTGGTCACATTGTTCACTTACTTTGCGCTTTCCATTTGCATCAATCAAGTTTCACGATTCATAACTGATCCATTCGCTTTCACTTTGGAAATAAACTATAGCAATTGGTCATACAATATCCCAGCATTCACTGTTTGCACAGATTACACAAACGAAACTTTCATTGACCAGTATTATCAACTCTCTCAAAATACCACATTCATCGATTATGACTCACGAGCGTATCGTGACTACCATCATTATATGACCATAATTGGCGCTTTGAATGCAGAAAATATCCATTCGATCGATGATTTCGAAAATACTGAACTATTTAAAGGTCTTACTGGAGAAGAGCTATTTGATATCGCATTAAATGTATGAATACTTTAGTTCCCTTTGGTGGTACAATCCTTGAATTACTAACATTTTTTTTTCAATGTGTCTACAGCAAAAGTATCTCAATGATACATATGACCCATTTTTTAATCCCATCCGTCCCGTGGTTACTGAAGCTGGAATATGTTGGTCCAGCACGTATTTGTTCGAATTCTTCATGGCAACACACATAAAGTGTGATACTATCTATTGGAATAACACTTCTTTTTTTTTTCAAACATATGCTCGAATATTTATATTTTCTATAGCTCTGGGCAAGAACGAGTAAGACACATCCATGTTATGGAAGCTATATGTCGATCAACCCAGGAATGCGACATGTCTTTTAAGTTTTCTCATTCTGTACAAAAAGCAACAATTGTATATAACACTTTTTCCAATATTTTCGTGAGATCTATTCGGAAAATCCCTTTTTTTTCACAAGTATTTTCATGGCTCGAACGATATCCTAAATATGATAAAATCACCCAAATCCGAATGGAGATCTGCCACTGGCGTGCTCCACTTTCATATTGAGTTCAACGAAGTGGTCACAAGTGACAGATCGAAAATGTTCGGGATTGAAAGCCGTAAGTGCCGATTTGACACAGAAACTACTTCAGACCGAAGCTTTCCATTGGGATTGTATACACAGAATCTGTGTTTGATGGAGTGCAGCGTCGATGCAGCAATCAATCTTTGTGGATGTCGACCATTCTTCTACAAAATTGGTTTTTTTATTATTGAACAATTTAAATCCTACAGCAACTTATTCGGAATGGTTTTTTTCAGGTGCTGGGCCAATATGCAACATAACTGGAATGTAATGAACTGTCGCAATTATTAAAACAAATCAATTTATAACACATTTTTACATTTCCATAGGTTATGCTTATCAAAAAATCATTGGAATGAGAGTCGGATCCACTGCCCTTGCTTTCCACAGTGTAACTCAGTTGACTATTCATTCACACGTTCATTTACTCCGGATGATCTTTATTATGATCCCTACATCACTTTGACGCCTCGCATTTCAAAAACAAGGCTTAAACGAGATCTCAAATTCGGTATTCATTTCTTGATCGGTTAGTTTAGTTTTATATTCCCATCCTCTGCTTCTTAGTCATCAAATTCCTCTCTTCTATCTGGAAAAGTGTCGGTCGGTGGTTCTGCGGCATTGTTCCTTGGGTGCAGTTTCATAAGCCTAATTGAGCCCATCTATTTTGTCGCTGACCATTTCTATCGAAAACGTTGTGGCAAGAGCAATCTAATCGTTATAAGACCGATTGAGTCTGATCTGGATGACCAAAATAGGAATACAAGTGGTCGCAGTCGATATGCTATCGTGGTCACTAAATTCGCAAACCGATTCTACTACTTTGTGAACAACAGTGGCTTACATGGCATCCGATATTTGGATCGTCGATACGGATTAATTGATCGGTGAGAAAAGTTAATTTTTCATAGATGAAATGTACTCTACCCCAATTGAATTCGAATTTCAGAGCATTTTGGATATGCGTCCTGATTGCATCCCTGATGGCAATGGCTGTGGTGTTTGTGTACACATTAAATGATTACGTGGATAGTCCGGTTGTTATCAACGTGGAACCAACTATCTCAAATGAGAACAGTGTATTTCCAGCTGTATCTGTTTGCATTAGAAACTTTGGTATCTATGATGGAGACACAAATACAGAGAGAGTTGCAAAGTTTGTCCGAAAATATTACACAGAACACCATATTAAAGAGCCACAACAGTAGGTTGATTGCTGAATGTTATCGAACAGACATGATATCCTTTGATATTTTCAGTGAAAAGTTCTATGATCAACTTATGACCTACGCCTATGCATATCATACGCATGACCGATATAATGCATTCATAAAATTACCTGCATGTAACGCAGCCAACAGCACTTGTGGTGTGGATATAGAAACTATAAAGCAGCTGGTTTGCATCTATTCTGTCATTCATTTCCTATTTTTCCCTTTAATTATCACTTAATCTTTGTTACAGTTGTTCCCGCATTGCAATGAATTGTTTGATAACATTCAGTTCAATGACCAACGTTACAACAACTGTAGTGATTTATTCAAGCGGCAGTTAGTCTATGGCGAAGGCGTGTGCTTCACAGCCAACTCGATAAACTTCTAGTAAATATGAATCAAAATTCCCGAAGCGAAGAAGTTCATTTCTTTTTCTTCTTTCAGTGATTTGGATTGGGACCAATTGCCATTAACTTACAATAAACACCAAGGAAGCAGTAAATTCACTTTTGACCTGTTTCAGAAAAAAGGATATGGATTCCATGTGAGCTTTAATTACTTGGAATTTTTTGATAGAACCGAATCATAATGTTTCAACATTCTATCCTTCAGATTTATTTTCATAGTCCAAACGAATTACCAAACAAAAATGGTTTGCCTTTTTTAAACATAAATTTTGATGCGGATCTGGAATATATATTGAAAGTAACTCAAGTTCAAACAATGATTTAACTACAAATTTGAGTTGATTTTCGTCTTCTTTAGACATCACAGGTAGAAAACGATGTGGATGTACGGGACTTATCAATTGATGAGCGGCAATGTCGATTCGCAGACGAACGTTGGCCTCTGGATGCATCTCTTCCTTACAGTTTTTCCGCGTGCATGATCTATACTCGTGTTCAAATTGAGCTAGAGCGCTGCAATTGCACAATACACTTTGCACCGGTTGAATGTAATGAACTTGACATTTGATGAAGTAGAACTTTAAACCAATTGTTCGATTCATTTTCATCCAATAGACAAAAATCAGTACTGCAATTACGAACAGATGAAATGCATTGAAACACTGAATGGCAACACATTAGAATTTGACCATCACCATTATGTCAAGCCGTGTCTTTCTGCCTGTAAAGAAATACTCGTTGATTTTGTCGGGTATGTAGGATGAGTAGTGCTTCGGATTCAATTCATAAATCAAATTTCAATTCAAACTTAATTGATCCACAGAAAGTGTATAAAGAAAAAGGCAAGGAAAAAGGCCATCAGTTACGTAGATTCAACGACAGGAATTTCGTCAGTGTTTATTGAAGTAAATAATAAAATGAAACAATTGTCTCGTTCAGCGCGCGTTACAGACCTTGACTTGGTCATCACCGTCGGTAGCATCGTCGGTCTTTTTTTCGGTGCGTCGCTTCTCAGTTTAGTGGAAATTATTTATCTTTGGATTTTGCATCGATTTTGAATTATCTTATAAATATTAAATTCATCAAAATCATTATCGAATAAACGAAAAAGAAAGCTTGATGACGCACAGTTGTCTGCTGTTTG